TGGGAGACCAGGATAAGTACATGGCTCCTGCCATCGGATCAGCGCGGTGCGCTGGCCGCAGCGAGCTGGCTGCGGCTGCCATTGGAGGGTGAACCAACGGCAAAAAGAAGACCTTTCTCTCTGTCTCTCTCTCTCACTATCCACTCTGCCTGTGTTAAAAAAAAAAAAAAATTAAAGCTAGAAAAAGGAAACAAATGGCAAGATGCTATTTTTAAACTCTATATAATGGTAAGTCAACTAAATAGTAAGTTTCTAAATATTAATAGAATATAATAAAAATGCCAAGAGACAAAAACACTGTAAGTAAGAGGATAAGAAAAGATATACCATTCAAATGCTAACCAAAAGAAAGCTGACATAGCTCTTCAAATACCAGGTAAAGTAGTTAGTAAGGGGAATTATTAGAAATAGAGGTTCATTTTGGAACTATTAAGACAATCTACCAGGAAGAGACACCATTTCTAATTCAAATGCACCTGTTAACACCACCTCAGCTGAAACTGACATAATCAAAGTTTTAAACAACATGGTTATTCAAAACAAATTTTTTTTTACCTCATATACATGATAGGCTTCTACCTGCACACAAAGCTAGAGGAGCAGGGTGCTAGGTGCCATCATCTCTCATCCATCCCCTCCCCAGTAATTTAATTGCTTTTACTGATTCATATTTTTGTGTAATGCTATGAGGTTGCATAGAGGGTCACTGTGTGAAAATGTTCTAGCAAAATCATCAATGGCTTTACTATAAGGACATTATCAATATTAATGGCACCGTTTGCCACAAACCATGCATCATTCTATCTCATTACCAGTAGCTGAGCTTCTCTTGAGCAGACTGTTTTTTTTTTTTTTTTTTCTCTTGTGAATCATGTAATTGACAGGAGTTTCCTCTTCCTTGTGGAAACAGAAAGCTTAGAAGCAGACTGAGGGCCCAGGCTCGGGGAGAGCGTCAGGTTAGGTGAAGGTACTCACAGCTGCATTTTGAGCTCTACTGTGAGCTCAAACTCACTGCTCTTTCTTATATTACTGCATTAAACTCACCCTGTCCTGCCATATAAGGTGTCTTTTCAATTTACTTCCAGAGAGGCATGAATGAGTGAGTGATAGGAATCAGAAACACCCAGGGGTCTGGGGCCGGCCTGGCCATGCCAGCATCCCTACAAGAGTTCAGATTTGAGTCCCAGCTGCTCTGCTTCTAGCCAGCTTCCTGTTAACGTGCCTGCAGAGGCAGCCGAAGATGTTCCAAGTGCTTGGGCCCCCACCACCCACATGGGAAACCAGGATGAAGTTCTAGGCTGTTGCAGCCATCAGGGAAGTGAATCAGAGGATGGGAGATCTCTCTCTCTGTGTCTCCCACTGTCTCTGTCACTTCGGGAAAGGGGAGGGGAGGGGAGGGGAGGGAAAGTGGGAGGAGGGGAGGAGAGGGGAGGGAAAGTGGGAGGAGGGGAGGGGAGGGACGGAGAGGGGAGGGAAAGGAAGGGAAGGGAAGGGAAGGGGAAGAGAGGAGGGAGAGAGGAGGGAGAGAGGAGGGAGAGAGGGAGGGAGGAAGAAAACACAGGGGTAGGAAACGTATATATACACATTGAACAGCAGTTGGCTATGTCCTCTTGTCCTTTCTGATAAAGACCTTATTCAAATCTGGGTAAATTTCAGAGAAGTGCTTCAGTTCAGAGCAGACCAAAGTGTTAACACTTGGTCACAAAACGCAAATACCAAGTGGTTGGGGCCTGATGACCAGGTAATCGGTTGGCTCAGAAAAGCTCAGCGAAGTCCTGAGTTTGGGGCCAAGTGCACTGGGTTCACGTGCGGAAGCTACTTCTGGGGAATCTGGGGCCTTACTGCGACTGCCAACCACTTTGTGGGAAAAGAAAAAGGGAAAGAGGAGGGAGCGAGAAGGTGCCATTCTCAATATCTCATGCTCCTTCCTCCATGATGTTTTTAAATAAGCTAGAAAGTAGCTAAGAAATAAATACAAATAAATCTTTAAAAACAGAGAGAAATATTCCTTTCTTAAAAGACGCACAAGATTGAGTAATCCCAGCCACAATCTACTCTGAAAGCCCAGACCATTCTACAACCTTGGATCTTGCACTCTAAGTCTTTTTCTGCTTGCTTGGTTCTCATTAGACTGAAGGTACAGTAAGCCAATAAAGGAGCTAACTATAAATGCTTAATGCGCCCTCCACATTCACACCTTTGTAAAGACAGCACCCTGTGTTATCTAACTAGCCATCCATGGCTGAGCCGGGGGCGGGGTGTGAGAAGGAAGCAGCGTTTAGTAGCCATTTTCAAACTTCACAAGGAGCCTTGAGTTACACTTACAAACCTACAAGTGACTCAGTTCTGTCCCACTTTAAAAACTGCTAATGGGTCAGGATGGTTACAAGCACTTCTGCAGACAGGCGAAGCAGTGTCGCCTCACACGGCCACACCTTTAGCAAAAGGTCTGTGAATCAGAAAATTATTATCCTAACTTTATTCGATTTTTCTCTCTTTGAACATCTTCTCATCTCTTGAGACGTGTATCTAGATGGTGCTTTATGTTCCATTTCCTTCTCTCCTACTAACAAGCCTTCCTCTTTCTCACTCTTGGCCCAAGAAACCCTGCAAATTACACACATCATTCACCTGTCGCGTCCTGTCCACCCACTAAACACTCGAAGACTTCTCCTTGTGAGTCATTTTGCATCCTAAAGAGCACCTGGAAGCAGGTTCTCGGTGTTGCCGACTGCTAACGGTGGGATAGCCATAACCTGCCTTCCTGGGTAATTTCCACTATCGGTCCTGGTCTCCCGGTGTCTCTATTTAATATGCACAATCCTTCCTTAACAAAACAGCCTTTAAGATATTTGACGCTGAAACAGTATTGTTTTCATAAGGATCCTGGAGTAGCTGGAAACACACGCAGAGCGTGCTATAAGGAAATGTAATCAAACAAAGATTGCAACCGTATGCTTCTGTTCTGATTCTAAGACATTTTAGTCACGTCAAGGTTTTTGGGTACAGTGTTGCTCAAGTGCTAAGAAATGACAAACATGAAGCATGGCAATGGGGTAAAATCATGCTTTCCGCGGTCTCCTCATGGCACTGCCAACTGACGGTGCTGCTAGGGCGACTGATGACTACGCGGCAGAAGAGAGGATGCGGAACAGGAGTGCAGGAGAAACGGAAGGTTTGGGTCTGAATCAGCCGGGTCCTGGTAGAGCTTGTTGATCTTCTGTAGTCATATAACTTAATAAATAGCATTAATTAGATGCTTGACAAGGCACAGAGTTCCGCACCGAAGTGAAAAGCTAATGGTTATGGATGGTCCAGGAATGTGCACTTACTATGAGCTACAACTCATTTCAAAATTAAGACATTAAAAAAGATGGAAAAATAGGGTGGTTTGATTGGCGATGTTTTTCTTTAGCTATCAACTGCATAGCGTTCCTGGTGTGTTAAAAATTATAATTCCATAAATCCTAATAAAATCACTTTGATTTTGGCCCAATAGACTATATCAGCCTCAAAACAGCCTGTATGTGGAGAAGCAAAAACTAGTAATGTTTTGGATGACGCACAGTATAACTGACCCAGAGACACTGAACGATCTTTCTGAAGTCACACAGCTCTGCAGCGATTGGTGAGATTGGCGCTGAACTCTCCCCTTTCAGCGGCAGGGGAGGAATTAATTATAAATTATGTCCTACTTAGGGAAAACCCATCAGAAAGATATAAGTCTAGTGAATGTATTCAAATCTCTAGATATTACTTTAATTTTAAATGAAGATTTCCATTCCATTTTTAATGGGTAAGAGGTTAGTTCTAAAAGTTAATGATAGGATTATCAAGAAAATCTCATGGGAGACATTTTAATACCTGAGAAAGATCATCAAAGCACCAAACAGCTCATTATCGAAAAGGTTTTACTGCATGTCAGACAGCTGCCTGTGAGTTGCTGGCGCTATCGCATGGTCCTGCTGTAGAACATTCTTCATCGCTCACTCTCTAAGGATGACTGTGTATGTATTTATAAGGAGACATGGGGCAGGTGCTGTGGCAAAGCAGGTTAGGCCACCGCCTGGGATGCCCACATGATAAATCAGAGTGGCCGCAATCCAGCCCCGATTTGCCTCTGACCCAGCTTCCTGCTAATATGCACGCTGGGTGGCAGCAGATGATGGGGTAAGTAGTTGTGTCCCTGCCACCCACGTGGGAGACCTGGAGGGTGCTCCTGGCTTTGGCCTGGCCCAGCCCCACTGTTGTGGGCATTTGGGGTGTGAACCAGCAGCAAGGATGTATCTCTCTCTCTCCTCCTCTGCCCCCCACTTCACCTCTCTTTTTCTTTCCCCCTCCTTCTACTTCTCCCTCCCTCTCCCTCACTCTACCTTTCAAATAAACAAACTTCTAAAATAAAGATGCAATAATAAGTTGTATATCCTCCTGTATTTTAATATTTATCTTTACAAAATTCTTATACATCTTCCAACTTATACTACACATAGTAAAGCATGTAACCATCCTATGTATGCTGTGTATGTGTGAGAAAATAAGTGGTCTGTCTCCTGGCGTGTACACGACAGAAAATGTTTCCAGTGTTTCTGTCATTAGTAGTTGACAGAAAGACAGAAGCAGCACACACAGGACAGTGAGTACCAGCAGAAAACGAAAGGAATCCCATGGGATGGAAGTAGATGCTTTTGTAACGAAATGAATCCCATGCGGTGGAAGTAGACACTCGTCCGTTTGCTTTATGAAGAAGTTTATCCCAAGTGGTGACTAAACTTGCTGCCCCACAATGCCCACCTCAGATATTTTTAATTCTTTACATTAAAGTTCTAATTCCTGGTAAGATGAAAGCTAAAACAATAGGGTTAGCCTTTTTTTCTTTCTTTCTTTTCCTTAAAAGGCATTTTCTATCTTTGAAATCGCTGGATCAGAAAAACAAGAAAAAATATGCGGCGGAATTATGCAGGTATTAAAAATCACGATTTCTGTGGGCAGGTTCGACCAACCTTGACTTGGGCCATCTTGACAAGAGGTTTGCTTCACGTCCAAGTTCTCCATGGAATCTCCTTTCGAGACGTCGCCCAGAGAGGTTCTTTGCTCAAAGATGTTGTTGTTATTGTTAACTTGAGTCCCACTCTGCTTCAGTAGCCTGAACACCTCAGCTTCCAAATCTCTAATCTAGGAAAGAGAAACCCGCGTGTAAACCTCTGCACCACAACTCCTCTCCAAGCACCAGGCAGTGTCATCTCATTGGTCAGGGACTCGGAAAACACAACTTACCCGCACTTGCAGGCCTTGCACTTCCACAAGATGAGCTTTTTCCAGATCTTCTATTTTCTTTCTTTCAGCTTCTTGTCTTTTGATGAAATCCAGCTCTCTTTAAGAAGAAAATAATAAAACTGATTGTATCAAACACTCAGAAAATATGGAAATGAGAAAGTGCTATCTGAAACAATAAATGCACAGTGGGATAAACAACTGGACGGCTTTTCAACAAAACTCAGTCACAGACCAAACATGCACAATAAGGAAAGGAAAGAAAACATCTTTTTAATGGGTCACAAAGTAAAGAAAAAGGCTTCGATTCTGCCTATTACGATTTTCTTTTCTCACTCCTGATTCCACAGCACCCATACATATTTAGATAGGAACTGCAGCACCAGTGATCACATTTGAAGATATAGGGGAGATAACTACACGTCAGGTAGAACTGGTTCCAGATGTCCAATGTCAGATACAGAGCCAGCTGATGGCATGGATGGTAAGAGTTCAATAAAGAGAAGTACAGGCAGATTCCTTATTACGAACAATAGTGCAAGAGGGCAGGGCGGGTCTCAAACACCAATGCAAGCACTCTCAGACCTATGAATGTCAAGGGGAGAAGAAGAAATGCCTGCATTTTGAGAGCTTGGGTAGAATATGACAATTGAACAGGATTTAATACAACATTACCTGCTAAGGAGTTAGGCATGTTGAGACAGTGATATATTGAATTCATGGTCTCTGAGAACAATTACTCTCATTTTAATAATAAACTTTTTATAGCAATCTCCTTTAAATGTTGACATTACTTCCATGGTAGGAAATAAGAGCGATATGGTGAATCGTAACACACATGCTCAGCTTCCAACACTTGGCACGGAGACCAGAAAAGGTACCAGCACTACTTTTTCTGTGCTAGCTAGCCTGACAAAAAAAATGCTGGTGACAGTCTCTCTGAGACTACATCAAGATCCAACAGATGGAAGCAGAGTAGCAGTAGCCAGAAAGAGCTACTGAAATTCAAAAGCAGAACGTGGTGAGGATTTCTCTCATGGTGGTGAACCCAGGCCTCTGTGACTCTCAACAGCGAAGTGCAGAGAGGCAGGGCAGGGGCCAAGCTATCGATATTTACACCGTGTTTAATGGGAAAATTCTGCAGCTACTGATTATTAGAAACAGGAACTGTCTGATCCAGACCCCAGCTACTCCTCTATGTGCACCAAATGTCGTAGCCAGTCATTCAGTATGACTTTGGCAGGACTTCATGCTTCTAAGTCACAGCTAAGTTTCAAAGAAGATAAAGAAATTCAAATATTTTAAGTTACTGTCAATGACTGACCATCAAAAAAGAAATCAGGGGGCAACTGGTTGCCAAAAAAATTATAAAGCGTAAGAAATAAATATTATCTTCTTTGAGAAAATGATGTAAGTGATTCCCCAAATGTGTTTCTGCTGTCTACCTCTGCCTACCGATGCTCCAGAGAAGGGTAACGCTGAGAGCATCTTTTCTGTTCCACCAGGTGTCTTGGAGCCAGTGGACACCAGCCTTCTTTACACACACATAATCATTCTTTAGCTAGTGAAGGCTGCTTACTTTTGTTGAAAATCCTTGATCAACTTCTTCGCCTTGTTGTATTTCTTTTCCAGGGCCTGATACTGGCTTTGGGTCTCTTTGAGATGCTCATTCACTGTGTGGCATAACGTTTGGGCCTCAATCCAGTAGCTCTCGAGCTTCAGCATTCTTTCTTTATTCTCTTCGATGTTTTGTTGCAGTTGGGTTTTTTCTAGTTCCCACCTCACTTTCTCATTTTCTGCTGCTTGCAGCTGGAGAAAGCAAAGGTCAAGGCAAAGGTAATTTGGAAACTTTTCTTGCAAAAACTGCTTATATTTTATAGTCTGTTTTAGATTACATTCCACTGTTACAGAGACTCTGTATCTAAACACCTCGAGATGAGAAGACCAAATATCCTTTCCATAATTTTGAAAAGTGAAATGCTTTGTCCAAGTCGCACATCTGATAAATGATAAAGCATGAATTTGATTCCAAGTCCCATGACTGTCTTTCATGCCACGCACGAGCAGTAGAAGATATTTTAGAGTTCGCTCATATCCAATGAACGTCAACACGCTTTCTTTGAGAGTTTTTAAAATAAGAAGTAAAAATTAACACTCAGTTAATATAGGGAGTGGGGAAAGGCAAGGAGGGAAAGGAAGGGATAGAAGCCCACAATGGCCTGATGGTTCAGCGAGGGGCCCTGCAGTCCTTCAGCTTAGACTTAAATCCCGGTTCTGCCACTGCTGGCCTTTAAATCTCCGGCAGGTAACTCAAGTTCTCTGAGTCCCTTATGTCACCTACACAACAGAAATGTCATGTGACACATCGGCACGCTGGGAATAGCTCCCTCAGCATAATAATCACCTGGGGAATATTAGCTATTTTTACTCTGCTTTTAATCATTTTGATGCTATTATTACATTCTTTATTTCCATCGATGTGAACATAGTCAACACTTCATTATTTCACGGGCAGCGTTATGAATTCCTAGAGTCTTATAAACCTCAGTTCATAGACAAGTTTTAAAAACACTCTATTAAAAAGTAAATTGTTTCTTGATTATTTTTAATTCCTCCAATGAACCACAAAGGCAGCCTTTCGGGATCTCTGCTTCCAGGGAGTCTTAGTACACTAGGCTAACATGCTCGTCGCGAAAGAAATTCCACATGGACCATTCAGAAGAGTGCTCAAAAGTCACTTATTCACAATAGCTGTCTGGCATTCAAACTTGTGCTGTAGCTTACTTGATACAAAGGCTAAACTATTGCCAGCGATGTTCTAAATCATGCAGCATTCATACACGTGTGTACCTATGAATATACGTACATGCAAGTGCATACACACATATATCTTTCTGCGTATGTTTTTAAGTAAACACATTTGTCAAAGAGATTATAAAGCTAAAAAGCAGCCAAAGCAGTTCAGAACCAGTAACTCAATTATCAACTTGAATAACATAAAGAATCATAATGAAGTAAGCTAACGGGTGGCTATTACATATCAATGTCAGCACAATGAGAAAAACAAAGCAGTTGATCATAGTTTGTAACTTAAATGTTTACATTCTAACATATCAGCTCCACTAAAATATCTATAACCACAAGGGAATCTGGATACAACCAGCAATTTTTTTAAAAAAACCAAACTTTTATTTTTCCTTTCTAGGTTAAGAAACATTAACAATTGAAAACAGGACTAGTTTTTTTTTTATTTTACTGTATCTTTTATTAAGAAATTTTTTTTTTCATCAAATTGTTTATTTACCAACTACCACTAACTTAAAACTCATTGTCCACAGAGCTGGGTTGACACCATGAATGATGCGCAGACGTGTTCTGACTAAAGAGCTATGGGGTGGATCAGCCGAGAACACCGTTTAACCAACACGGCCTTGCTCATAAATCTCCACTTAAAACACACATGGAAAAATCCAAACCTGTGTTTAACATGAACAAGAAAACACATCTTTAGTGGTGGGGGAGTAATTCTACCTGAATTTTAAAGGAATCATAGAAAACAAGAAGGAACATTATTTTTAAAGTAATTTAAAAGGTATTTTAAAAGTATCTGAGGTTATATATTTAACAAAACTAAACACAAGTGCTAGAACTGTGTCTCACACAAGTTCATTTAATTAACAGTTAAGAATGTTCTTTTGAATCTTAAATTATTTCATATATAGGGAGTAAAAAAAATACTTCCTTTTATTAAAACTTTTCTCTACCACAAATTTAGATAATATGAACTCAACATGTCTAAAAACTTCTAGCAGTTCTTGGAAGTTGAAGTCAATTTCCCATGCATTGTATTGATTGCATAACATTTAATTATTAGAAATTGGAATTGTTGCTATCAAAAATAATTAATGTGTGATATTTAAAGAATACATCGTTTAAGTTAAAAAAATAAATGTTTGAAGCTATTCACAATAAGGCAAATAAAGAGAAGCAGGTAACACAGACTAGCTTATGCTTAAGGGATCAGTGAATAAAACACACGAACATTTGAAGCATTAAAAATACTAATTTTTGAGGAAATCTCCAAGGGAATTGGCCACATATACACAAATACTTGTGTAGGTCTCAGTATATATGTTAATGCAATGTTATCGGCACGGAGGCAGGCATGGGTGCCTGCTCTCCCAGGCAGGTTTCTCTACACCCACTAACACTGGAAACGAATCGCCCTTGTGTGTTCTTTCAACTGCACCACGGAGCAAACCCTTTAGCGCTAGGGTGAAGTGACCCATGGCATCCGAAGTTCAACAAGCACAATGTGGACACCGCTTATTGGTGCTTACCTTGGTCTTCAGTTTTTGAATCTCTGCCTCTGTGACTGCATGTTTGATTTGCAACTGAAAATTGAAAAGAGAGAACACATCTGAACGGAGACAGTACACCCATCTTTCCAAAGCCTCAGCAACTACAAACATACTTCAGTCCCTTGCGAAAGCCTAGGAAAGTGCACCAGGCTGTAGTGCAGCAGGTTGTAAATGCAGACGCCTAGGGGGCACAACGACTCAGTGCAAACCAACTCGGCACAGGGCTTCTGGCTCACGCGCCCTGAGGTGAGATTAGGTTCACCGGTTTAATTGCTCAGGGACCAAAGAGAAGGAAACACGTTTTCCTGCCCTCTTTGCAGCTCTTCCTTTATGTGAGTGTCAGGGCGAGTCAGTGGCTCCGTGGCCCGATCTGGAAGAGAGGTGGCGCTCTAGTTCCGTGAGTCCCACGCTGAGCAGCTCAGCTGAGCCGCCGTGGGGGAGGGGAAGGATGCAGCTCACAGCGGAACCTCCGATAGACATATTTTTTTAATTGCAGAAAAGGTGCGGATCGAGATTTCTGCCCTCCAGAAGGGCCACTCCTGGGGAAGGCTCACACCCCCTCTGCAGCTTGGGAGCAAGCGCGAGTTCGCTTCACCCCTTCCCCTTGCTCTGTCTCCTTTGTAAGGGGAGAACGGATGAATCGGTAATTTCCTCCAGGGACAGGTAAATGCCCTCAAATTCAGGGGAAACAATTTATGGATTCACAGCTCCTGGTCTGACATCCTCGGGCCGGGCGTGTGTGGAATTCAGAGTTCTTACGATGTCAGGGGAGCACACATCCCCCACGGCAGGGTCTGTGTAATCAAACACAGAGCACTTCTGCCAGCAAGCCAGCAGGTTCCCCTGAAGTGAGCTCTGGAAGTGCTGGCAAGGCATCCTGCCTGGCCAGGCTGTGTCACCAAAGGACAGAAACGTGCCACAAAGTTACAGAAAAGAGCATCTTCAGGGCCTTGCGGATTTGGCACTGGACACAAGGGGCCCTGCACGCACACCATGCATGTAGTCAAGCCAGTCTGCACCAGAAAGGGCAGGGCTGTGGAACCCTCACACCTGCACCTGAACTTCAAAGCCACAGCCCCTCACCCACTCGGCTCTCGCGTTTACCACTTGTATTTCCTTGGTCCTCACCCAGTGTTGGGGGCCTGGGGGAGGCAGAAGGGAAAGCAGGAAGAATCAACAACAGGGCGATGGGGTCAACTTCCCAGGAGTCGGGGGTCTGTGAGCTCCCAGCGAGGTGCCCCCTCCCCAGTGCTCCCCTCTCCCGTGACACAGGAGGGGGTGACTCCACTGCTGTGATGCCACTGCTGCCCCTGCCCCGCCCACACACCTCCTGTCTCACTCCCACTCTCTCCTCTTTCTCCTTCCACCTGCGGTTTCTGTGCCCCAGGGGTCTCCAGAGAGGCAGGATCCCCCCTGAGGCCCAAATAGCCCATCCTGGTTCTCTGGGCTTCTTACCATAGCCCCAGGCACACCACCATTACTTCCTGCCATTAGTCCTAGTGTGCCTGGCTGGGAACCTGCCATACGCTTTCTCAGTGACCAGACGGGGAAGGGTTAGCCAAGACAGCAGTGTGCTCTGCATCTTGCTGCCAAGTCCTGTGCCCACTCAAAGCCCTGGGTGGGAGGTAGCTTCCAAGAGCCCAGCGATGCTGGCAAGTCAGATGGGCAGGTTCCTGTGTCCCAGGGCTCCTGCAAGGGCGGCTCCTGGAGCAAACTCACTACTGCAAAGTCACGGATCCTTGGGTTTCTGGAACTCACTTTCGATGTGGGAAGCTGAGGCTCACAGCCGACTGGCCTGGGCTAGCCCTCACAGTCAATCAATCATCATGAAAGCCAGGACATTTCTTGAAGAGTTTCCGCATACAGTATACTGCGAAGATAACCCTTTACCCACTAAGAAAGATCAGGGCTAACCTCCCTCACCAATATAATAAAGTTAAAGGGCAAAAGACATTAGACATATGGTCTCTATATAAATCTATAAATGTGTGTTTATGTGCACACATGCGCATCTGCACTCACATACACGGAACTTTCTCATGCAGGCATTGTACTCCAGTGTGCACATGTGTGAGCATGCCGAGTCTCTAATGGTTGCTGACCAAAGGGTCTACTCCTCGTCTGTTCTGCTATGTGCCAAGTGTGAGGAGTGGTTAAGTTAGACTGCTGGAGTTTATCTCGGGCTTACGATGCACTACCCATGTGGCACGGGGAAAAAATGACTTCTCTTTCCTCACCTGAAAATGCAGTTGCTTATAAGTTATGAGCTTCCTCCCTGGAAGATAAAGCGAGATGACCCTTGTAAAGCATTCAGCACTGTGGCGAAGCATAGACTAAGTCCTTAAGAAGGTCAGCCAAGACCAACAAAGAACTCAAAGAAAATTACAACTCCACTTCTCGGATGAAAGTGCTAACTGCTGTACAATGTCACACCCGGAATGAAATGGACACCTCTGGTTGCTGCAGAAGAGGAACAAGAAATCAAAGGCACACATTTCAACAGGGGACCCTGCCCTGTGGGTGAGTGCCCGACGCTATTTTCTTGGCAGGGAACACACAGTAGGGCAACCAAGTCTACGTCCTGCAGCTGCCTGGGACTTGGGGCTTCCTCTGTCTCTAAGTTGTTCTCTGGGGCTTGATGGGCCTGAGAGACCTCCCTGTCATGAGGAAGACAAAATTGCTTTCCAAAGGGGTAAAGGAACTTGACAGAAGAAGTAGAGCTGCTAAAAGGCTGAGTTGTCTTACTCGACAGCAGGTCTGTTTTCCTCCAGAGATTTATGCCAGAGACCAATAACCTTTCTAAGGGGCAGGTGCAGGAGTTTGTGAGAAGGGACAGGCTGGCTGTAGGGAGAGCAGGTCAACAGGGCTGGGTAACAGAAACACAGCCTGAGATGCCTGCGGGGCTTTCGGACCTCTGAGAACCTGGGTTTGGAGAGAAGGCTTGGAATGAGAGAAACAGATGAAAAAAGGTGGAGGATGACAGCTCAGGGTCTTCTCACCAAACACCAATCGCTGTCATCTCTCAGACCGCTTTTAATGTGAACGCCACAACAGTCATCCCAGGACCCAAGTCCAAATAAACAGACACGTCCCACAGAGAACAACAGCTCTCCCTTAGCATTCTGCAGAGGCACCTGTGGTTCCTAGTGTCTGTTTATTTCTCTCAAAGAGGCAAACATGGAGCATGTGTGCATACGACTGAATCAGTGTAAGCCAAATACAACTGCTAGAATAGAAACATCCTTATACCAAAACATAAATAACAAGACTGAACTTTGGTACCCTCTCCACTTGTCTTGTGCAGGCAAGAAAAACATTTCTTCTTGAAAAAGTAAATATATATATATGTATATATATATAATATTCGTAGGAAGGATTTTTAATGGAGTATTAGAAATGATCTAATCAGATAAGGGCTTTATCCTCTTGATAAAGTGATTTCAGAATTGGAACCAGACTTTTTACAAATTATCTTTGTGAGTATTTGCCTGATGTGTGTCTTACCACCAAGAGAATAAGCTCCACAAAATAAATCAGCAAACCTATATTTACTGACATTTTTATAAATGACACCCATCTTTATGTTAACGAAAGTATTTCTCTCAGCGAACGGTACATGCCGAATGAGATGAGAGGCTGACTGAACCACACTATGATACACAGATTTCGAGTAGGGTGAGACCCTCCAAGGAGGTCACTCTCTGAGTAGGAACTCATAAGCTGGTTATTAATAATGAAGATGCCAGATGCAGGCGACAGCTCCTTTTATAGTAAGAATCTGTTTACTGTCAAGTAGACAATAATTTACAGCTTGTCCATGTGTTAATGGAAAGTTCCATAAAGAATACATTATCATCTAATGCATGATAATGTTTATGGATTTTTTTCATAGACTTAAACAAATAAAATAACGTAAATTTCAGACTTTTTGTTTTTCCCCAGATAAATGTACAATGTACTCGCTGGTGCTAGCAGCTGCAACTCCTGATGAGGAGAAGGGTGATGCTACATGGTCAGCCTGTCCCTCCGTCCCACCAAATCTCCAGTGAAATCACCTTGGAGAAAGAAAAACTCACAGCTCTAAATGGACACTGAAACTGAACACAACTGTCCAAAAATATGAAAGTGTCATCGAGGTGAATTAAGAAAAATCACTTCAATCCAGTGACAGGGAGACACTCTGTGCTGGGAACGTGGATGGCCTCCACCATGGCACCCAGGAGTGGGCCCCTAGCTGGGTTCTCTAACTCCCTCATTAGTCTACAGTTGCTCAGAAGGCAATGACTAACATAGGCACAGAATGCAGGAAGGTGGCTGATGTCTTGCATTTCATGGGACAATGCATAATTTCAACTACAGACCTTAATATCAAGTGGTATAGACAAGGATACAGGGGTGGGGGCGCTTGGGGGATAGGCAGCAGCATTGGGGCACAGTAGGTTAAGCCAACTCCTGTGACACTGGCATCCCACCTGAGTGCTAGTTCAACTCATGGCTGCTCCATTTCCAAAACAGCTCCCTCTGAATGCACCTGGGAAAGCAGTAGAAGATGATCCAAGTGCTTGAGACCCCACTGCCCACGTGGGAGATCCAGATGAAGCTCCAGGCTCCAGGCTTTGGAAGATCTTTTTCTATCTCTGTGACTTGGCCTTTCAAATACAGTTTAAAAAATCTTTAAGAAGAGAGAGCGAAAAACATAATGGAAATCATTGTTTTTCTTCAACTTAGGGAACTGAGTAGTGAGATCTGAGTATACCGCATCTTACAGTACAGAGAACTGCCCCAGACAACAGGTGCCAGAAAACAGCAAGTACCTGGAAACTGGGTAACTAGTTGTGTCGTCCTGGTGTAGATCCAGGAAGGGACTCATCAATTTTAAAACTGAATAATTACTAACAAGCAAAACAGCTGCTGCCTCATTTCAAGAAAGCTAAAAGAAAAACAAGCAAACCTTGTCTATTGTCAGTAACTACAGAGGAAGGTAAAGAAATTATCAGATTGGAAACACAAATAAGTGAACTAAATTTTGCATC